GCCCTTCCCGGCCCAGCTCGTCAAGGGGAGGCCTGGCTTCCATTCCAGTTTAGGAGCGGCCACTGTGTCTGCCCCACTCCCCGGCCCTTCCTGGCACAGCTCGTCAAGGGGAGGCCTGGCTTCCATTCCAGTTTAGGAGCGGCCACTGTGTCTGCCCCGCTCCCCGGCCCTTCCCGGCCCAGCTCGTCAAGGGGAGGCCTGGCTTCCATTCCAGTTTAGGAGCGGCCACTGTGTCTGCCCCACTCCCCGGCCCTTCCCGGTGCAGCTCGTCAAGGGGAGGCCTGGCTTTCATTCCAGTTTAGGAGTGGCCACTGTGTCTGCCCCGCTCCCCGGCCCTTCCCGGCCCAGCTCGTCAAGGGGAGGCCTGGCTTCCATTCCAGTTTAGGAGCGGCCACTGTGTCTGCCCCACTCCCCGGCCCTTCCCGGCACAGCTCGTCAAGGGGAAGCCTGGCTTTCATTCCAGTTTAGGAGTGGCCACTGTGTCTGCCCCGCTCCCCGGCCCTTCCCGGCCCAGCTCGTCAAGGGGAGGCCTGGCTTTCATTCCGGTCAGATGACGGCTGCTCTAGGGGCAGGGTTTCTAGCGTTTGGGACAAAGCTCTTTGATGTTCTTGTTAAACATGCATTCACTTTACGTATAGAACTTACAGCTGTGCTATGTGACTTTTGAGGGAGAAGTTATGTGCTCTTTNGCCCCACTCTCCGGCCCTTCCCGGCCCAGCTCGTCAAGGGGAGGCCTGGCTTTCATTCCGGTCAGATGACGGCTGCTCTAGGGGCAGGGTTTCTAGCGTTTGGGACAAAGCTCTTTGATGTTCTTGTTAAACATGCATTCACTTTACGTATAGAACTTACAGCTGTGCTATGTGACTTTTGAGGGAGAAGTTATGTGCTCTTTTGGAGTACTTAAAAAGCTATGGATCATCAACTGCAGAAAAATGCACATATACACAAAACATACTGTCTAGTTAGGGAATTCATGTTCCTTCTGACAGTGTGTATGAACTTGGCCTGTGGACCCCTGCTTGAAAGGAAAGTGGCTTCACTCAGCAAGTTGTGTTTAAATTTTATTTTGGTTGTGTTACTTATTCTGAAAAAAATTCCTGGTGGTGATTATATAGGTTATTTTGCAAAGTGGAAAGTATTCATCACTAAGCAGATACTACAGGAGTGTGATTAAGATAATTGAGTCTTGACAGTATAGTTTTTCTAGCTGACCAAACCAAGTGTTTCAGTGGCATTAGGAGACAGCTTTGGTGATCCAGCTTACTGCTATCATAAAGGCAGAAACTTAACAATATTAAGGACTTCCTGTTAAATGTGGGTTAGAAAGCTCCCTCTTGGTTATTAATTCTGTATGTTCTGTAAAAATACAAATCGGTGATGTTCAGTATGCCATGTGTCATAACCAGCACCATAAACGTGCATTAAATTAATGTGTGAAATGTTTCCTAAATCATATACTTCATATCTTTAGATTTTAATTCTAAATGAAAGACATTTTAATTTCTAATAATATCTATTTCATATTTGCGTACTTAATTTTCTTTCAGGAGTATATTTTGAAAAAGTTTTAAAGAGTTCAGACACTTCCCTTTGGGTGAGAAACATTCAGATGTATCTATCGGGGATTGTTGTGACATTAGTTGGCGTCTACTTGTCAGACGGAGCTGAAATTAAAGAAAAAGGATTTTTCTTTGGTTACACATATTATGTCTGGTTTGTCATCTGTAAGTATCCAGGAATAAAGGGTTATAGGTAGATCTTTTTTAAAAAAATATTAACAATAATGTATATATAATATAAAATATATTATATATTATGTAATAAAAGTTAGATGTCATTTAAGCCTTTATAGCATTTTTAAATTGTTCCTTTGATACTGAGAATACCAGCTTGAAAATGTAATTTTGATTTTATTGACTTACTTTTGTGGCAAAGCTATCCCAAAGCAATTTTTGCCTTCACAATCAAAAGTACCTAACGTGTTAGCAATAAGTGTGTACAGTTTAGTAGTAGAGTACATAGCCCTTTGGGCATCTGAAAAACAATGTTTTGTAGGAACTACGACTCAACTTTTAGTTCAAGCTCTCATACAGCTGCTTCTAAGGAAAACAGCATTTTCCTAGGTAAATTAGTATGGCATCTCTGAGGATGAAAAGTGCCCCACCGTCATAGCGTGTGTCATTTGAGTGTTAAGATTTTCTTTCTTTCTGTGCACAAGTGCTTGCCAGCGTTGGAGGCCTCTACACGTCTGTTGTGGTCAAATACACAGACAACATCATGAAAGGCTTCTCTGCGGCAGCTGCCATCGTCCTTTCTACCGTTGCTTCAGTGATGCTCTTCGGATTACAGATAAGTATGTCTTAGTTTGCACTGCAAGTTTTTGACTGGGAAGAGCTTCTCACTTCCTTGGTTCATCTTTTATTCAATATGGCAGTTGCTTATCGTGTTTACAGAAATTGCGTAGTTTTGCTGTCATTTATCCTAGAAGTGCAGCAGTTCGTATCTGTGTGGAGTGTGGGGTTCACGGGACTTAGGTTACTTAAATGGTTCCAGAGCTTAAACCGAGGGTGTCACTTCCCTGTATGAGCGAGCAGGCCACTCGCCAGGAAGAGCATTTCTGCAGCCAGGGCCTACACACAAGGCCACGTCGGTGCTTCAGCGCGAGTACAGCATGACACAGCGAAGGGCGGAAGGGCCCGGGCAAGCGGCTGCTTACCACAGCGGGCTGCAGTAAACTTGGCTTTTTGTTTGAGGGAAGAATAGTAAAACTGCTTTCATTTCCCCCTTAGCTTGTACCTTCCTGTTTTAGACTTGGGTATAAACTGCTTTTGAAACTACAATGCAAATCTAAATTTTCTTTTATAAACTATCTTTATTTCATTTAATATGTGATTAATAAGAAATTTATGCTTGTCCTTCTAGTATAATTTTCCCTAGCCATATCCACTATTAGTTGTCTTCTGAATTATTTAAGCAGAGATACTGACTTAGCAGTTATACCAGAAACTAATACATGAGGAAAATCTGTCAAATATCAACATTAAGTAAAAGAATCAGATCTGGCCTACATTTACATTTCATTTTAAAACTGACTTTTGTTATAAATGCAAATAGAAGAACATCAGTATCTTAGGAAAAAAATTGATAGTATGGTTCAAATCTTGCTGGTACCATTTATTAGCGGAACAGCCTCGGGGAAGTTACCTAACCCATGTCTCCGTTTCTGTGTCTGTAAATTGGGAACAAGATCACCTGTCTCCTAGGGTTATTTTAGGCGAAATGCTTATTAGAACAGTGCCTGGCACACAGGTGTTCTGTATAAAGCCAGCTGCTTACCATTTCTAGGCCCTCCTTTAGATGTTCTATTTAATTTACCCTCTTCTCCCCTTTCTGAAGGAAAAGCTAGTCTGTCTTAGTTAGGGATGAATTAAAATCCATGGCTTGATGTCATTTTTCTGCATGACATTTTTTTTTAAGATATTAAGACTCTGCCATTGTATTCCCTAAGATAGAATATGGCTTAGTTTTGAACAGAATGTACAGTTTGACACAAAGATTTAGTTATATAATGTCTACTTTGGGCAAGTAATTCAGTTACGTCCTGATTTTCAGAATTAAGGTTAAAAAAAAAGGTTAGCAGAAAATATGTTTACTTATTAAATCACCACCTCATTTGCTCTTCAGGAATCCTCAAAGGTTTGAATCATTAGTCATCTAACTTTCTGAATTTGCCAACTACCTGTTACTCTAAACTTCAACAGGTTTCTAGTGTCACGGAAAATCCATATTCCACAGTTGTCTGAGTCAGCAGATAGGGATGTTGGTATGCTCTTGGTCAGTGACCCCAGACAGTGATACGTGTGTTCTTGAAAAGTATGTAGTCAGTGACTGTCACTCCCTTGACCTCACCACTTTGTTTTTTTTGGGGTGTGGGGTGGAGGGTGGTGCTCCAATTGATTACTTTTCTAAACCTTACCATCAAAATACAGAACACTTAAAATTTATTTTCCATACAGTCTGATAGTGTAAACCCACAGTTGAAAGTCTTCAAAATTTTAAACTGATCATCGTGATGTAGTTTTAAGGGCACAAATACAGATTAAGCTTTTTTTTTTTTCTTTCCAGCACTCACCTTTGCTCTGGGTACTCTGCTTGTCTGTGTTTCTATATATCTCTATGGATTACCCAGACAAGACACTACATCCATCCAACAAGGAGAAATGGATTCAAAAGAGAGAGTCATCGGTGTGTGATGTTAGCCTCAAAAGAGATTCCTACTAAGACTAAACCATTTATATTAAACTAGAGCCTTAAGTCAATTTCAGAAGGTAGATTTAAAAAAGAAAAACTGGTCTAAGAATTAAGAAGAAAGCTATATGAATGAGTTTTAATGTGACCTGTTTGGAATCAACTTGTTTTAAGAATGAAGGATTTTTATTATTGTATATATAACAGTGTACATACAATAGTATGGAGATGATGTGGTGTTTAAAAAAAAAAAATCATGCGAGGCTGCAACATTTGATTAGTGAGGTTTGGGGTTATGTCAAAGGTTAAAGTGCCAAAGCCGTTTCTGTACTAACTGTTCTCTCGTTCAGGCACCAGGGGAGAAGGGCTGACCCCGCCTTACTCTCCAAGGCATTACAGTGTTTAGTCCCCGCAGCAGTGAAGACCTAGCTCTTCTCTTACAGAAGGGAGGCAAAAACAAGACGGGCTAGTTCAGAAACAGACTGACTGTGTAACTTCTCAAACTGCATCTATCTAGAAGCTCAGACAGTGATGTGTGGGTGGTGACTGAATGCCCCTTTAAGTGCTGGCTTTGTGCCATTCATTGTCTGGACTCGTATTTCTTTGCTGTTAGAGGATATACTTTTCTTCAAAAAATATTTCTAATGTCACTTTTGTACTTTTTTAAATAAAGTATGTAACTGTTGGGCTCTCAATAATTTGTGAAATTTCAGTGTTTTTTAAAAAAATTTCTATGATACGGGGAAATTCAGCAATAAACTTAATTTATTATATGAAATCTGTTTGCTCACTACTTGTATTGTAGATATGACCATTAAGACAATGCTTAAGCATAAACACAAGCCCAAACCATTAAATTTACTTTCTATATGCGAACTTTCATCAAGTTGCAAAAAGGGCTTATATAGAGAGACTCTAGCTAGCATTAAACAACAACAAAAGGAAGTTGTGAAGACTGTAGGGCTCTAGGCTATAGGAATTAACGTACGTTTCTTTCAGGGAGCTGCTTTTTCAAAGCCCTGGCTCTAACAATCATTGCCCCCGTGTCAGTCACTTTACTCAAGATTCAAATCCTAAGGAAGCTAGGGATACTAAGGATCTGGGGAGGGGAATGTTTTTTCAAAGGAGAGGCGGGGGATACTAGACCTGTAAAACATGTCCCAGCTTACGTTTTTATTCCATGGCTGATTTATGCTGAAGAAATATTGATACTTTACATAGAGAATTAGCAATCTGGAAGCTAATTCACTTAAAATTGGAGTCTTTTCTAGGATTAACAATGTATACCACACTTGCCAATATAAAACTAAACTCACTCAACTGAAGAAGCTTTAGTTCACGCTAACTGGCTTCTCTATGCATAAAAACAGACTGTCATTGGTATTCAGAAGACTTCTAGTAGCAACAGTCAGAATAAATTGTAGCAGATCAGAATGGAAATTCTCAGATGAGGATAGCTGAACCTATCAAACAGACCACATCCTACTCATGTTCCCTTAGCAGGAAAATGCACTCAACAACATGCAGATACACGCAGCTGGGAAACTCCATTTCAGATATGCTTTAATGGGCTCATTTACGAAGATCCTAGGTCGGTATCCGTAAAGTAATTCCTTGTTATTCAATGTATTCAGTGCCCCAGTTCATGTAGTGTGCCAAGAGGTACCTGTACACAGCAATGAAGAGATGAGTACAAGATCTGTTCTCTGCAAGTAGTCAGCTGTATCGGCAAAAAAGCTTAATTTTGGTCTCCCTAAATTTATTAAGAACACTCATGATCCTAAGAAAATTGAGATTTTTCTCCACAAGTTAAAAAAAAAAACAATCTTATTTATAAGAAGGGTTTCTGGATGAATGGCATAGTAAGAAACCTCAAGCCGGAACTCACCTCGCCCCACAAACACACACACATCGGCATCGGAACAGGTCTCACTGAGGAGTGACTGCAAACGAGCAGAAAGGCTCACAGCCGAGGCTGTGGGAAAGAGCCACACAGAACCAGCAGGAAGGGAGGAGCAGAAGTCTGGTGCCCCGGGGGGACTCGAGGAAGGGAGATCACACGGGTGAGACTCCTCCCTGGGAGTGAGCAGTTCAGCAGGCGTGCTGGGCAGCCCAGCCCCGGGTCAGACACAGCCAGCACCCCGGGCTGGTCGGAGGGCTGGGGGCCGCCCAGGTGCCTCTCGAGTGGAGTGTGTGCCCCCGTGCAGATAGCAGCGACTGTAACTCCCCTGTTGGTGGGAAGGTAAGTGGCCGCAGCTACTTTGGAAAACAATGTGGAGGTTCCGCAAAAAACCAAAACGAGAGCTGCGATCCAGCAAGTCTACTCCTGGGTATATATCTGAAGAAAAACAAAAACACCAAAAAGCTACATGCCCCCTCCCCACCGGTGCTCACAGCAGCATTGTAAGCAAAAACATGGAGGCAACACAGTATCCAGCAACAGAAGATGTGCATAGATATGAGCATCGGCCATAAAGAAATGAAATTTTGACATTTTCAACAATATGGATGGGCCTAGAGTTACTATGCTTAGTGAAATAAGTCACAGAAAGACAGATACTCTTGTTATCACTTATATGAGGAATCTCAGAAATAAATGAATACAACAGACTCACAGAGAACAAACTAGTGGTTACCAATGGGAAGTGGGGAGAAGCAAGAAAGGGGTAGAGCTTGAGAGACAAACTACCATGTGTAAAACAGGTAAAGAAGAAAGATACATTGCGTTGCACAGGGAAATACAGTCATTATTTTGTACTAACTTTAAATGCAGTGTAATATATAAAAACAGTGAATCACTAGGTACACCTGAAACTAACGTCACATTGTAAACCAACTGTACTTCTATTAAAAAGCAAACCCCCCAAGCCAGAGTTTAAACTCCAGCCCTTTGTCTCCACTAGACCAAAGTGACTAAAAAGACTTCACTTAAGTTTTATAAAAGTCTGTTTAGTACTTACTGATCATGAGGGAACTCAGATGATTTTTTTTAAAAGATAAAGATTTAATAAGTTGACAAATCACTTAATAAAATGTAGACAATAAAATATAGATTCTGACACAGAATAATAGTTTCAATTCTATTCTAAATAGCAAGGCATATAAGAATAGATAACTAGAATTTAGTATTTTAAAAGCAATTCAATTAGAAATTACATTCTACATACAGGTGTTATTCCAAGAAGTTTCATTCCATTGGCTAGGACTGAGCGGACAGCTCTGAAAAGGTGAAGTCTGGCCTACAAAATAAAAGAATGATCAAAGGTCAATTCAGTAACAGGCTAACTGTAACTGAATAAGTAAATTGCTTTTAGAAGTAATTCTAACATTCTTCTAAATTAAAGTAGGAACAATATCTCCAAGTGCCTGAGGGATGGCTGTGAGCAAAGACAAATTCCTAGAATCTGTTACGGGAAAACTGGTACTCAGGGTGGTGGGATGGGAGTGACAGTAACAGCGTGAAGCACGGCTTCAGATGAGGGGAACTCCTCACTCACTCGATGCAGGAAAATGTTGTGTCTGGTGGAAAGTAACATTGATTGTTACAGCCTAATTACAGTTACTGCCTGAGTAAGTACACTGCTGTAGTCTGACAACGGGATGCTGCTCCAGGAACATTTACCAGACTGACTCAGTAACAACAGGCTGAGGATGCCAGAGACGACAGGGAGAAGCGACATGACGTACCCCGGCCACCTCGGGAGGACTGCTTCTGACGTGCAGCGTCCTGTGCGCCACTGCGGCGAGGTGACTGAAAGAGGAGAAACCAGCGTCAGGACCAGCAGGAGTCTCCTGTGTGACCTGCGAGCCCGACATCTCGTCTCACCCCCTCAATTCAGACAGGTCAAGGCCCGGAGCCACTGAAGGGTATTTCCAAAGTTGAAGGGATGAGACTGAATTCACTGCTTGTCACTAACTGGCAAAGTGAAACAAATCAAACTCCAGATTTAGAGTTTTGGTCCTGGTTCTACTATTAGGGCTTCCCCGGTAGCTCAGATGGCAAAGGATCTGCAATGCAGGATACCCAGGTAAGATCCCTGGATTGGGAAGATCCCTTGGAGGAGGGAATGGCTATCCACTCCGATATTCTTGCCTGGAGAATCCCATGGACAGAGGAGCCTGCTGGGCTACAGTCCACGGGGTCGCAGAGTCAGACACGACTGAGCGACCAACACTAACGCTACTGTTGATAATACTGGGTGCTATGATTACAATTTTGTTTTCTTTAAGGTTATGATTTCACTGTTTTATAAGTACAGGGGATTATTTTCTAATACTAGCTTTCCTTTACTTAGGCATCCCTCAGGATGAGATGTGTAACAGCCTGGCCTGTCTCCTCTGTATATGAGGTGGTGGCGTAAGACTAGTTATCAGCCCATTCTGCACACACTGGTCACTCTTAAAGTATTTTTTCTGTTTACATTATGGCAGCAAGAAGAATACTGTGCCAGAGAAATGATGCTTATGACATTGGTTGTAATGATTAAGTAGAGATTTTCTGGCTTCTTCATGTCTATATGTCTAAGTGAAAATTAAAAGAAAACAAAAATCTGTAAATCCGGGGAAGACAGGTAGAAAGCACGGTCAAGAAAAAAGTCCCAGTAAATCTGATTTCAATAAGTCTTGAGTGAAAGCAAATACTTCCTTTCTTAAATAGCTTTATGAGAAGATACAACTTTGTTGCTATAGGAGTCAACCTCTATGTAGAGTTTCTAAAACCAGCGCTGCGAAACTTCTATCAAAGGGTCACCTACTCGCTTTCCAATTCATCCTCTACCCTCTGCCAGACTGACTTTCCCGTGCCGCTGCTCAGAACTTGCTCACGGCCCTCACTGAGCCGAGCGTGAGCCGGAAGCTTCAGGGCGCAGCGGGAGGCTGCATGTGGTTTCTCGCTTCTCCCGGAGCTGCCTTTGCAGCGCTCTTCACGCATCACGCTCTCGCTCGGCTCTGGGCTTTTCCGTTTCTGCCCCCGCGTTCCTCCTGACTCGCATTGACGCCCCTCCTCTGAGAAGTCCTCTCTGATCCCTCGAGGCTGGCTGAGAGCCCCAACGCCGTCCCTCATGTCCACGCTGTTCTAACATGCACTCTACTGTGCCCGTCCACGATGTAGCTGTGGGTTCCCGTTCACTGGACAACAGTGACAGGACCTTCAATCACTGAGTGAATGAATGGACATTAACGGCTAAAGTGCAAAGAGGAGGTGAGAAGCCCTGGGACCTAAAGTGTAATTGTTTAGGCTGACAGATCTGTCTGTGGGAAGCCTTTAAATGCAAGAAGGGTCCTTTGTCATATCAGGTCTCAAAACACTTAATGCCTGAAAACAGCAAGTTTATGAAGTACCTTAGAGTTAGAAGGTAGCTGACAATGTGCCTGGGCTGAAGGTCTTGAGATGACCTATAAAGCACCTCGTCGAACCTAGAAGAAAGATGAGAGGAGTTGGTGGCAGGGGAAGGCTGGGCATGTATTACACTCAGCTAAGATGCCAAGACAAGAGGGTGAAAGGTTGACTTGATATCATTAGCGGTATTAGACATATGAAAAACCACCTTGTGTAAATTTGAAGGTGAAGGCACATTTTTCTTTCTTACAAATTCCTGCATGGCAGGTACTTTTTAAATGATCTTGAAATCCTGTAGGCCCAGCCTAAAGCAAGGACTTAAATCATAGCTGTTAAATGTACACAGTCTCCAGCCATGTTTAGGAACATAATCAAGCAAAGTCTACTCACTGCCAAGAAAACCAGGTTGGCTTATGTTTTTCCTCAAAAGCAAGCCAAATATAAGTAAACTAGCCCGTCTTCCCAGGAGAGAACTGCAGACCACGGTGCGGCAGAAAGAGACGCTAAGCATCCACATCCCTTCCAGATCTCCCTGAGGCCATCAGTCTCTCCGGCCAAGCACAGCTTCGCCGATGATGCTGGTGCGGCGCAGAAGCATGGCCCCCTGCCCCCGCTATCTGAGGCTTCACTGGAGCCAAGAGGCGAATGAAAGGCTTATGGTCTCAGGGAAGGTGCGCAAGGGCAGGGACTTGCCTCCACTCATCACAGAGGGTGAGATGATGACTGTTTCTGAAACGTAAAAGGCTATGCTTTCACCAGGCTTTACGTTCTCATACTGTGATCTAAGGGATGTTAGGCATCTGGGCTGATTCAACGGTGATGCTATTTTTAAAGCCTCAGGATTAGCCGTGAGCATGCCCTCCGTCCTGCTCTCTAAAGGCAGGCGCGCACTCTTCGGTCACATCTTTGGAGAAGGGCTGTCTGCAGTCACTGGCCTGTTCACTTCAGTGGTCAGCAAATGACGACAGTCCCTCACGGGGCAGCAGCAGACGACCTCGTGAGGACCCCATACCTGAGAAGATGCTGAAGAATGGAAACAGACTGCGGCTCTTGTAAGCAGGCAGTGTTGAAGTCATTGAGATAGCCGCATCCAAAAGTCTCTTCCAGACTGTTGTCAGAAGTTTAAACACAACAAAGGATTAAGCAAGTCAGCTGGGGTACGAGTACCTGCAAGTAAGGAACATCACCCCAGCATGCGTACCCTCAGTCTCCCTAATCTAGTCCTAGACTCGGCAGCTGACATTGTTTGACTCGAAGCCTCGATTCTTCCTAAATCTGTTTCTTCATCTGAAAATGGAGTATACTCCTTGGCGGGATTATTCTGAGTGCTAAGTAAGGTAATACACAGAAAAGCATTGTTACATAGGTGTGCAATAAATAAATGTTCAAAAAACCTCTCAAGATCCAAACACAACAGGAGTCCACCAGACTTCACCTAGCTTTGAATGTCAGACGTGGGAGAAGTGCAGAAACCAGAGCCTTTGGTCCTGGAATCACGCCACCCAGGCCTCACCCTGAGAAGGCCAGAGCCATCCTGTGCTTCCCCGCAGCCCCTGTCACCTGTGGAGGCGGGCGTGTGTGTACTGCAGGAAGACTCCCGTGTCCCCGCGGCTCTGGAAAACACGGTCCCAGCTGAACTGGTAATCCGACAGCAGGGACCCTCTGAAGTCCTAAAACGACAGGAAGCCTTCAGCACGCGGCGGCGGCATCGCAGCACCGAATCAAAGGCTCCCCCCCGGAAGCAGCCCCCACAGACCTGAATGATGAGGGCTGCGAGCCCCACCTGCTCTGCCGTCTCCTGGGGGCTCTCCAGCTCTCTGGTCGCTGAAACAGACAGAGGTAGCTACGGTCACCTTGCATGAAACTGGACAAAAGCCAGGGTTGAAATGCAGCTGTGCTGTGTGCTAAGTTGCTTCAGTCGTGTCCGACTCTTCAGTCATAGCCCACCAGGCTCCTCTGCCCATGGGGTCCTCCAGGCAAGAATACTGACTGGGTCAAGCAGCCATTCCCTTCTCCAGGGGATCTTCCCAACCCAGGGATGGAACCTCTGTCTCTTATAACGGCAGGCGGGCTCATTCCCACTAGCGCCACCTGGGGAAACCCGCCTAAACGTATGCGGGCAGCACCAGGAGCAAACAGGGGCACGGTGGGCACTCCACTCTCCTAATCTGGGCAGACTTAACTTCGATAATGATGTTTCCCCAGCCTTCATTAAAAGGGAAGAGACATGATTTTTCTTACAAACATCCCATGTAAGACATGAGACTTCTTTACTTCTGTCACTTCTTCTTCCAAGCGTGAAGCTTACACAAAGCCATGAGGCCTGCGACTTGCTTCAGGTGTGGAATGCAGGAGCTCTGCACGACCACTCCAGCTGTGGCGTGACGGCGCTGGAGCTGCCTGGGCAGAGAGGCTCGGGCTGTATCGATCACACTACTGAACCAAGCCAGAGCCGAGCAGCAAGCACCAAACCCTGGAGCCCTCAATTAGTGAAGCTATTTTTGACAAGGTTAGTGAAAGTTCCAAGGAGGGATGGTCAGAATAAATTGCACTGCACAAGAAGTCCAGCAAAACATAAGAGTGGACGTAAGTTACGCCTGTAACAAAACAATGAATTTACTCTTAATAGAAGCCATGTTCTGTAGCATCCTCAATCGAATCTCATTTAGAACATCTTCCAGAAAAGTAACATCTCCTCTCCGAGTTTTCATTCCCTGCACTATCCCAAAGGGCACGTGTTGGCACCTGAAATGGAGCAGCAGGCATTTAATTCACTGAAAACTGAAGGAGCTGCTGATCAAAGTATGCAACAAGACGTTTATAGAGAACAATTTGAACTTTTAACTCCTGTAATCAATAAAAAGTGAAACATGCTGTGATGTGTTGTGTGCCAGAACACCATACAGAAGATGTTAAACACACAGCCTCATTTCACAGTCACAGGATATGATTAGATTTTTAGTTGCCTTTACGAAAAAAAGGAGATCGGAATTAAGCATTTTGAAAATTAAGCCATTGAGAGCAGTTATCTAATAAAACCATTTATTAAATGTTTAGAAGATAGAAATCAATATAACCATGCAATAATAAAACTAAGTGTAAAGAACAAATGTTTTTCCACACTAACAGCTTGAAACAAGTAAAGTTTGAATGAAAATCTAACAACCTGGTACATTTTTGGACATGGCTGATCTAGCAACAGTTGAATGCCCTTGAGAAGGTACTTTAGAATCATGCAGATCGTACCTGTCTGCCCAGTCATATCCCATGATCTGCAGCATCTGGAACACCTGCTGAAAATGCTTTTTTTGCCCTTTATCTGTCTTGAGAAAAAAAAGTGTATTTAAATAAAAGAACAGGTTGAAACTGGACAAAAGCCAGGGTTGAAATGCAGCTGTGCTGTGTGCTAAGTTGCTTCAGTCGTGTCCGACTCTTCAGTCATAGCCCACCAGGCTCCTCTGCCCATGGGGTCCTCCAGGCAAGAATACTGACTGGGTCGAGCAGCCATTCCCTTCTCCAGGGGATCTTCCCAACCCAGGGATGGAACCTCTGTCTCTTATAACGGCAGGCGGGCTCATTCCCACTAGCGCCACCTGGGGAAACCCGCCTAAACGTATGCGGGCAGCACCAGGAGCAAACAGGGGCACGGTGGGCACTCCACTCTCCTAATCTGGGCAGACTTAACTTCGATAATGATGTTTCCCCAGCCTTCATTAAAAGGGAAGAGACATGATTTTTCTTACAAACATCCCATGTAAGACATGAGACTTCTTTACTTCTGTCACTTCTTCTTCCAAGCGTGAAGCTTACACAAAGCCATGAGGCCTGCGACTTGCTTCAGGTGTGGAATGCAGGAGCTCTGCACGACCACTCCAGCTGTGGCGTGACGGCGCTGGAGCTGCCTGGGCAGAGAGGCTCGGGCTGTATCGATCACACTACTGAACCAAGCCAGAGCCGAGCAGCAAGCACCAAACCCTGGAGCCCTCAATTAGTGAAGCTATTTTTGACAAGGTTAGTGAAAGTTCCAAGGAGGGATGGTCAGAATAAATTGCACTGCACAAGAAGTCCAGCAAAACATAAGAGTGGACGTAAGTTACGCCTGTAACAAAACAATGAATTTACTCTTAATAGAAGCCATGTTCTGTAGCATCCTCAATCGAATCTCATTTAGAACATCTTCCAGAAAAGTAACATCTCCTCTCCGAGTTTTCATTCCCTGCACTATCCCAAAGGGCACGTGTTGGCACCTGAAATGGAGCAGCAGGCATTTAATTCACTGAAAACTGAAGGAGCTGCTGATCAAAGTATGCAACAAGACGTTTATAGAGAACAGTTTGAACTTTTAACTCCTGTAATCAATAAAAAGTGAAACATGCTGTGATGTGTTGTGTGCCAGAACACCATACAGAAGATGTTAAACACACAGCCTCATTTCACAGTCACAGGATATGATTAGATTTTTAGTTGCCTTTACGAAAAAAAGGAGATCGGAATTAAGCATTTTGAAAATTAAGCCATTGAGAGCAGTTATCTAATAAAACCATTTATTAAATGTTTAGAAGATAGAAATCAATATAACCATGCAATAATAAAACTAAGTGTAAAGAACAAATGTTTTTCCACACTAACAGCTTGAAACAAGTAAAGTTTGAATGAAAATCTAACAACCTGGTACATTTTTGGACATGGCTGATCTAGCAACAGTTGAATGCCCTTGAGAAGGTACTTTAGAATCATGCAGATCGTACCTGTCTGCCCAGTCATATCCCATGATCTGCAGCATCTGGAACACCTGCTGAAAATGCTTTTTTTGCCCTTTATCTGTCTTGAGAAAAAAAGTGTATTTAAATAAAAGAACAGGGATAAGCTATATCTACAGTGCTGTTGTTCAGCCGCTGAGTTGTGTCCAACTCCTTGTGGCCCCATGAACCGTAGCCCACCATGGTCCCCTGTCCGTGGGATTTCCCAGGCAAGATGCTGGAGTAGGCTGCCATTTCCTTCTCCAGTTGATCTTGCAGACCTAAAGAATCAAACCCATGTCTCTGGCACTGGCAGGCAGATTCTTTACGACTGGGTCACCAGGGAAGCCCATTAAATCTACAATATGTTGGACATAAATCATACTAAAATATTTGAGTTTTGACAGACTGGAGTCATTAGCAGCAGATCAGTTTTAAATACACGTATGACGAGGATGTCACTGGACGAATGTCTAAGCAGAGCGCTCTGCGAGAGCAGGGAGGGCTGCGGCGCCCCACTGAATATTCCACCTGAATCACTCCTCTCTCAGCCACGGTGACCCTTATCTCCAAGAGGGCCAAACTAAGCACTAAAGAGATATTCAATAGCAATTTCCCCCCCTTAGGAGAAACGAAGGTTTCACATGGAAAGAAAGGAAGGGAAGCGGAGACTAGAATATTATTCAGCATAAAAGGAACAAACCACTGACATATGCAATAGTTTGGGTGGATCTCAAGGGCATTCATTATACGGGGTGAAAACAGCCAATCTCAAAAGGTTACCTAGTGTGAATCCATTTACAGTACATCCTCAAAGTGACAAAACTGTACGGTGAAGAATAGGGCAGTGGCTGCCGGGGTGAGGGTTGGGGGAAGGCATGATTACTAAGGGGCTGCCACAGAAGAAGCTGTCTTGTGATGGCACAGTTCTGTATTATGGATGTGGTGAAGGTTACCTGAATATACATGTGATAAAATTTCATAACCATCCCCCCATCCTTCCACAATCCAGGCCCTAACACAAGTGTCTGTAAGTATTGGTGAAATTTAATCAGGGTGTCTACCAATGTTAGTTTCCTGGTGTCGACAAAGTATCATCATTTATAAGATATTATTTTTGATGAAGAGTGAAGGTAATATGGAAAGTACTATTCTGAATCTTGAGTCCTAAAATATTTAAAATAAAATGTTAGTTTTAAAAAATGCATTATGACACATATATATTCATTACACATAACCATTCTTTTGTGTAATTTTCTTTTAATATGAAGCAATGTGAACACTTTCATTTTTAAAGTTTTTTTTTAAAAAATAGTGGTTGCCACCATAAACACACCACTGAATTCTTCTATAGTTCGACAAATTATTTTTGCAGTTTTTCAACAGGGCTTTCAGTTTCTATCTCTGCAGTTTTCATGAGGCAGGCATCATAACCTTTTGTTTTTTATTGTGATTACTTACCACATAGATCATTGTATCAAAATTATACTTTTCCATTCGATCTATAGCAGCTGCAAGATCTCTGAAAAAAAAAAAAGGCCATAGATTAACTTACTACGCAGATCTGGGTAATAATTCGCTTCACCCATCTAACAGTAATGAAACTTTTCTAATTAAGAGCTACTGTTATTCCTCAGCCTCAGGTAGAGTACCCATGCTTCTATAATCCCAATACCATGCTTAGCTGCAAAGCAATAACAACAAAATCAGCTTTGGGAAAAGAATTAGGAAAGTGCTGTGCAAAGATCAAAAATAAATAAAAGCTCTGGGACAAGTAGTAATAGTAACTAAATAGCTCTAAATAACTAAAGGCAAAGTGTTTGTAGGTAAACGCTTTACGATTTGCTAAGCCTTTACTGGAAAGAATAGCCTTCCTGTCACTTTTCCGCGATGTGCTTTCCTAGAGAACATACTTAAAGCAGAGGGGATGCAACACCTGAACAGGTGCCTTCCAGCTACTCTTCCAAAGCCTCGGATCACTCATAAGCAATATTTTCTAAAGTATTTGAAAAATACCATAAATTCTTTTGACTAAAATTCTACTTATCTCTGGTTAAGTATCCAGTTTGCACACAGTATGAAATATTAAAAGTAACAAACCCATAAACTATGAAATTTTAAGTAAACATTATTTAAATACTGAACTTAAAAGTTACTTTAATTACCTTATGGGGAATACAGTCAATAAGTAAGTAATACCTTGTATGATGACATATTGTATCTAGACTTACCACGGTGATCATTTTGAATATGTAGAAAAACAAAATCACTTACATTGCTGTGAACTGGGAACTAACAGTGTGATAGGTCAGTTATAATTAAAAAACAAACTCACAGAAAAAGAGATTAGATTTGTAGAATTTCAGAGGGAAGGGATTGGGGGGGGGATAGAATTGGGTAATGGGAGTCAAAAGGTATAAACTCACAGGTAAAAGATAAATTTATATGATGTACAAATGATAAACTCACACTGCCATATTTTACATAATGAAGTTGTTAAGAGTAAATCCTAACAGTTCTTGTCACAAGGAAAAAAATTTTCCTATTTCTTTACTTTTGTTATCTACGTGAAATGACGGATGTTCACTAGATCTACTCTGATAAACATTTCATGATGTATATAAGTAAGTCATTAGGCTGTACACCTAACTTACACAGTGCTATATGCCAATTGTATCTCAGTAAACTGCAAGAAAAAAAATTAATAAAAGTTCCTAGGTCTTTTGAAATGTTGCGTCATCAATATGCCATTTGTACTCACGTCATGCTCCTGATATAATAGAGCATGAATTCTGAATGGAGGCAAAAACTGTATTGTGAGGGGCCAAAAAAATTTCATACATATGTATAAAACATATATGTATATAATCCAGACAAATATGTGGTGATAAAATTTCATGAGGGTGGGCACAAAGAAAAATATGGCTAAAAAGGCTCTTGAGAAGTGTTACAATAAAAGATGGTTGTAAAACACTGATATAGATTATCCCAAAAATGAAGTCATAAATATACACCTCCATTATATTTTTCTATTTGACCCAAGGACAAAAATGAAGAGAAACTTTTTGATACAATGAAAAACAGAGATGAATGTAAGAAATAGTCCTAGGCTGAGTTTGTGGAATCTGATTTGAAAGCTGAAAGAGATGCCAGGTCACTGAGCTCAGGTCTCTGTTCACCAAGCAAGGAATTGTGGCCCAGAGAAGTTAAGTGACTGATGATCACGGTCTCAGAACAGAAATGCAGGTCTCGAGTCTCATCCTGTACTTTCGTCTGTCTGCTATAACAATTCCTTTAACTCGCATGCACACACACAGTTTTATTCTATAAACAAACCATCAAAGGGGCAGACACAACTGAAATTAGAGCAAGGTGAAAGATCAAACATTTCTACACCTGGCAAGAAGACAGTTATTCTCCCAAAGAAAAAGTGGAAAGTACAGTAATTAAGGTAAATAGACAGAAAAATCTGGACCTAATGATAGCTCTGCAAAAGATATCAGATAAGAATAGTTACAGAGTCTCCATTCTGAGTGGACACATTTGTTTCTTTTTTATTTGAGTCTAGTGGACTTGCAATATTGTATTAGTTTCAGATGTACAGCATAGCAATTCAGTATTCCTGAAGAACTCATAGTCCAGATCAGTGGAGAAACAACTCCAGAAAGAATGAAGAGATGGAGCCAAATCAAAAACAACACCCAGCTGTGGATGTGACTGGTGATAGAAGCAAGGTCCGATGCTGTAAAGAGCAATATTGCATAGGAACCTGGAATGTTAGGTCCATGAATCAACGCAAATTGGAAGTGGTCAAACAGGAGATGGCAAGAGTGAACGTCAACATTTTAGGAATCAGTGAACTAAAGTGGACCGGAATGAGTGAGAATTTAACTCAGATGACCACTGTATCTACGACTGTGGGCAGGAATCCCTTAGAAGAAATGGAGTAGCCATCATGGTCAACAATAGGGTCCGAAATGCAGTACTCGGATGCAATCTCAAAAGTGACAGAATGATCTCTGTTCGTTTCCAAGGCAAACCATTCAATATCATGGTAATCCAAGTCTCTGCCTAGACCAGAAACGCTGAAGAAGCTGAAGTTGAATGGTTCTATGAAAACCTACAAGACCATTTACAACTAACACCCAAAAAA